GGAGTGCCTCGTTACTGGTAAAATCTGTTTAAGAAGGGATAGGTTGAATCCTGAGCATTAGCTTATGATAAAAATACACGAAATCCTGGCCCTACCTCTGCCACTCCCAGGTCTGTTATCCTCAAGGTCTCGTCTGTGGTCAGAAGCAAGTTACTTGGCTTGATGTCTTTGTGTACAATGCCCTGTCCATGCAAATATTCTAGACCCTCAACCAGCTGACCAAAATAACTGTGGAAGAAAAAATATGTACAATGTAACTGATAATGTTTATATGATGAAGCTAGTGAATTGAAGTGATCTATTAAGGTGGAGTGATCCGTTAAGTTACACAATTCAAAACGAAAAAAACAATTCATTTCTCAATATCAAGTCGTTATACACCTCACTGCTTAGACATTATTGCATTTGAATTATACATGAAAAATTATTAATTCTGGCTGAACATTTTAACAAACATACAGTGGGCAATATATTGATGCTGAAAATATTGCTAGTTTGCTACCATATATTTTTTTGTATGGTGACAAAGTCATTACAGTGGAACAATCAAATGACAGAAAGCTATAGGCTACAAAACCAGTAAATGTTTATGACCTACTGGATACATTTCTAAAGGCAGCACTTACTTGTGTGACTGACAGATAGGAAATTTCTTGTCTTTGGTACTCTCCAGCATCTCCTGGAGTTCACAAACACAGTACTCCATAATCAGGTACCTACACAACGGTCAAGGTCTATACATGTGCACGTCTCTCATGACAAAACTATAACCACCACAAAACGTTACTCAAACCAATGCTAGTCTAATTAGTGGGGGTTTTGATATCAATTTAGACTGAAAGCTTCAGGTTTACTGAAGCAAAATACAACTCATTGGATGGCATTCATTCAACTCATTTCAATATTTCTAAAAATAATTTCTTAGTATTTCCATTATTACAGACTACTGGCATGGTATGTATGTATATATTCTGATTGCTGATTCTAGGTCTGCATGCTAACAGCCATAAGACATTTTCATTTTGATAAAAAGCCCCATAGCCCAAACTTTAAGTAGAATTGAACTATTTTAAAATCACTGAATTGTACATTTGTACAACATGAAACGTGATACTAAATAGCTTCCTTAAAACTTAAACTAGTTCCTTTTCTTTGGGGGGGGGGGATTGCTTTGTATTAGGAAAAATAGAGGTCACTAGCCAGTGCATTAGGGGGTCTAGTCGCATTGTTGATCTTAATTATAAATTGTTTTTACCAACAGAGCAGCTGAGATAGCTGAGAGGTAAAGGCATCTGACTGTCTACAATCAGTCGCCAAGAACTGGCTGCATGCAGGTTGGTGGTTTTTCTATAGGAACTACAGTTTTTCTCCACCACAAAAACCACCAGAAGATCGTGATAATAAACGAAACAATTTTTTAGGATACATTTTCTGCTTCTCGTCATTGACATGAACATCAAGAAGTCTTATAACATGACGATGCTGAAGTCTCTTTAGTAATTGAATTTCTCTGAAATGAAAAGAAGAAATATCTTTAAAAGATAATCAGCAAAGTTTATAACAATATATGTCAGGTGAAGAGTTACAATATGATTTTTTCCATATATCGTTAATTTCATAATGTTTGCCTGTATACAGCACTATAGTACTACAGTAACACATAATTTAAAGTATATGTACTACAAATAGATTGGCAGGAATTTTGCACCCTTTAATAAAACTAATAGAGGATCACCTTAAGATGATGATGTAAAGGAAATGATTGCAAACTGACACTGTCCAGGTAAAACCAAAGACTAAACGCTGGTAAATACATTAAGTACCTTACAGTACAACTTAACTGTATATCATAAATAATCTGTTAATTAAGTTATATCCATTTATTCTGTAATTTCTGCCAAACGGTACCTATCTGCTGGTTTCTCAGTCAGTGCTAGAAACTCTTTCTAGCATAGTCAGTTACAAATGCATCTATATAGTGACTACCTTAGTTTTGCTGAAAGCATCATAAGGCTTTTCTCAGCTTTTGGTAAAGGGGCTTCATCAATTAAAATGCACTTAAATGACTTTATAATAGATTTGCTGTATGTATGTATAGTTCTAATCATAATAAGTATCATGTATGTATGTATGTATGTATATGCAGAGGCAGAAAAGGATGCTCATTGGTTGAAAAGGAAAGTGAAGATCAAGAAGGAAGCATTGATCATATTATTCTAGTAGATACAAAACACACCTTTGAACATTTTGTTCTCCATTTGGAATCTTTCTCAATTTCCTCCTTTTTAAGATTTTGACAGCACGTCGACATAAGCTTTCCGTGTCAATACATTCTTTGACTTTTCCGTAAGATCCTTCGCCTAGCATATCACCCATCAGATATTTCCCTATCAGTTTAGCTTTCCGCCGACGAGGCTGATACACGATTTCGTTGGAGTCAACCCGATGGATAATAAATGGCACTTCATCTGGATCTTCCATGATGGATATGAAAGGATCCATGCGGACATGGGGATACTCATCCTCAACAAGCGTCATCGCTTGCGGCACCATGTCTCCATCTGCCATAGCTGCTGGAAATAGGCGAAACTATCCACCGAAAAACTCATTACAACGTTTTTAATTTGACTCTACGGACTGCAGACTCCATATTGTTTTGTCAAATGGAGGCTATTTCCAGTCACGTGATTGACCGATTTATCAACAAGGGAGGCTATTCCTGTAAATAAAAAGGTCTAATGGGTCTGCATGTATGGTTCACAATATATCAGTATAATACCGTCTCGGAAACGTAAGAGGTGAGGCGAAAAGTCTTGCCTTTGTACTCATGAGCTAACATCATTAATGCATTCAATTCATACTGTATTTTTTTTCATAAGAAATACACAATATTTAGTATTAAAGCTTACATGTTAAATTCAGAGAATTGCAAAAGCCGCGGGGAGGCTTTTGGTTTTCTCTGACGACACAAATATTGCCTTATTAATAAAACTTGTATTTTAACTGATAGAAATAGTGTAGGGAGTATGATACGATTATTCACAAAATATACATTTTTTATCAATTACACCACGGAATTTATACAGCACGGTGACTATAACCGTCGCCATCAGAATAATTTCGTTGTTAAGTTTAAATAAGAGCTTCTTTTATTCCAACATAATGCAAACGGACAGTATAAAAGTTGACACAACTTAAGTACCTCTGTCTGTGACTAGTAAACGCAACCAATAGCTGAAATATTTATAACTTCATACAATAGCCAATTAAAACGGTAAGGATAGCTATATTAAATGCGTTCATCTGTAAATTGTTTCGGTTAAAATGTTTAAGTAAAGTCTCTTCTCTACGTTTATTGGAATGGAGAATACCAACGAATGCAGTTTTTTCGGTTCAATATATATAGATATAGGTATGTTTGTTATAGCAAGGAATAAGCTTAAATTTGCAATCAAAGTACGTGGTAATAGATAATATAATAATAAAATGTAACCTTATTTTGACCAAGAACAGATGATACCACGGACTAATCTAATTCCGTGATGATACTGATGTTATCTCACTTCACCTTCTTTTCATGAAGATATCTGTATAAACCTGCAGAATGTCTCAAGTTTAAAATATCATTACATATTATATTTACGTTTTGTAAGAATTGTCTCCCTTGGATCAGTTTGGACAGACAGTCTCATTTTGAGGAAAGTTCGACCCACTTTGGAATCACCATAAAAATTATTATGACGTCATAGCATACAATGTCATTTCCGCGGGTGATACGACTTTCCATATGTTGTTTGATCCGAACCTGTCCCAAACTGATATATCAATAAATTCGCTTATTACAGGAATATAATAGTCAGTGCCAAGCGTATACAAGTATATCACTATGTGAATCTGTTGGTGTGTTACACTTATGACATAAATAATTGGCCATAGCAATTCAGTTTAACTTGACCGTTTCTTAAGCCAGAAAGAAGTGGGGTCATTTTTCTACCCTCCCAAAAGTAACAAGCATGCATTCTTCATTATGCGGTACTTTTAAAATATTATTATTATCAGTTGAAGGAACATCGCCAGTACTAGAGGTTGACGAAACAGGACTAGTTGGAAGAGCATCGTCAGTACTAGAGGTCGCCAGAACAGAACTAGGTGAAGGAA